TCCACGACCTAATGAGTCGAACGGTTGAGCACTTGGGAATGTTGGTCGAGACATTGGACTGGATCCAGATTTTAGTTTCAGTAACACATCTTCGCTTGTTACTCGTATCAKATTAGATTGATCTGACTCCTTGAGTAGAACGGTTGAGTTTTTGGTCCAGCAAAACTTGTATTTGTTTTCCCTTTGGAATTTCTTTGCCTCGTTGAATAATGCTTGAGCTTTGGGCGTAAGGTGATCGTAAATATTGATGAATCCATCAGGTTGTAAGCCCATGCCGTCAAGATTGATATTTCTCAATTCACGTTTGCAGCTCATGACTTCTTCCTTAGCGATCCTTCTTGTAAATTTACAAATTATGGGCGGAATACGCTTTGGGTCACGTGGCGTAACTCTATGAGCAATATCGATGTCATAGCTTGAAACYTCTGCCCCAATTCCATTGAACAGCTTAAGACAAATGTCAACCGTTTCTTTGGCTGATTCGTTTGGACTCYRCTTCGGTACACCCAGTATTTTGACGTTATATTGAAAGCTATACTTGTTTATAGCTTCAATAGCTTCATCAAACTTGATAACATTCTCTTCAATATTTCYTAATCTCGATGACATTCTGGCTATATCCTTAGTTATGTTGGTGTGCTCAGCGCRAAAGTCATCATATTCATCGGAGAGGTGCTCGATACTCTTTTCCATTACCATCGGGTTATCTTTAAAGGACCCATTTTTTCCTTCATCTCGTCTAAATCCTTTGCAAAGTCAGCTACTTGCTTCTTTAATTCATCCTTTTCTTTCTGTAACTTTGAAACACTCATTTTTGAACTATCATTCTTTTTCTTATTAGATTTTTTTTTATTTGGCATTATAGATTGTTAACGGAGCTTCGAAGACACGTCCGTACTCACTCAGTACATCACGTGTAATTGTAATTTACGTTTACATTGTAATTTCTGATTCAATATCCAGAGCTGTAACTATGGCACTGTCACAAATAGGGGAATCACTGTCATTTCTAATTCTCCTTCAATATCCAAAGCTGTAACTGTAGCACTGTCACAACTAGGGGAATCACTGTCAGACCTGAAAACACACAAAAAATAAAACTTCATCTGACTTTTCTGTCTAAGATTGGTCAATAAACTATGCATCAAAAGATGTCATATTTTTTTCATATTCTTCATGTTTTGTTATGTATGTCACAAACCAAAAGGTCAGTTCTCAATATCATTATCATATATCATTCAATATCATTATTATGAGAAATTGTATTTATTCAGTTAGATWTTTTCACTGACTTASTAATAATTTGTACCAACATTATGATGTTGACAATGGCAAATATAAATCAGAAATCAGAGGTACTTGTTATTACCTGAATTCTTCATCACTACTGCCAGAGCTATCACTATCTGAACCTTGATTGCTGTCACTTAACATGCTGATGAATCACCACTAAAGAGAAAAAAATTAAGATCATTTCCTCATAATAATTTACAAGAACAATCCAAMTCATCATACTGTACCTAATTGTTCCGTCATCAAATGGATTGCCACATAATGAACCATATAGTGGATTTACAGACTGCATGCAGTCTGAAAGGAAGCTTGTTTCACCTGTTACATCCACACTGTATAAATATTTAAATAAATCAAACAAGGACATCACACTGTGTCAAGTATCAAGCAGTTTTAAGTAATGATGACTATATAACGACGATTTCCTCAAGAAAACAATATATATGTGATCGATGTTATTGTAAAAGGTACTTAAGCTGCTAAGGTCCCTTTTKHTCTCGAKWCTCTACGCTAGGSACCACTGGTCGCGGGCGTGTTCTTTAGGGCCTTTTTGCTTTGACAACACTCACGTAGTCTTCCTACTATATATAGCACAAGCGCTCTGACGTCTTGCTGATATGCCATAAACCTAACCCTAGGTTTACCTCTTGGCGAGTGACGGGACAACTCAGACGCGCGCCGATCTGCCATCACTCCTTTCAAATTAGCACAACCAAGCCGGCAGTGATCGAGAACACCTGATCATGACGTCAGCCGTGACGGTGGCTATTAACTTGGAGTACAGAACTCTCCAATAGAGAGTAAATCAAATCGTCAGTGCGGCGGGTAAAACGCGCATTTTCTATGTAGATTGGCTTCCAAAATACTGCGGTGTACGGATGTCGTTTTTTTGTCTTTTGTTGTTGCTGTTGTTTTTTTTTTTTTATGCTAGCCTACATGAGCGATGTTATTGTAAAATGTACTTAAGCTGCTAAGGTTCCTTTTGCTCTCGAGTCTCTACGCTAGGGACCACTGGTCGAGGGCGTGTTCTTTAGGGACTTTTTGCTTTGACAACACTCATATATTAGGGACTTTTTGCTTTGACAACACTCATATATTACAGTAAAAAAATAGGAATATACTTACTAGCTGTCCTCTGTAATAAGGGACTCTGCGGCGATGGGCGAAATACTGGTTACGTTTAGTTCGCCGCCAGTTTCGTTGGCTGGAGTCAACCAAAGCCGCCTTGTTGACGTTCCTAAATTTTTAAAATGAGCACAGTTTAAAAATAGAAGAGCAAAGAATTAAATATGTCAGATTGAAGATGAAATCACTTCAAAATAATAAAGATTTATTTTTCTTGCCTCTTGTTTGTCGTCGATTTATGTTGCTTTCTCCCAGTGTGGAAACGCGATGCAGCAAAAACTCCGCAAACTCGCTATTATTTATCGTAGCCATTCCCAAACGCTCCTTACGTTCCTTCCACATTTCGTAAGTTGATCCTAAATAATGTGTTTAATGCCCTCCTTTCTGTGCGGACGACCTCTACTAGGGCGTGACGCCACTTGACCTTCCGACATCTTACTCGAGTGACTTCAAAAATGTGTCACAGAGAAAGAACGATCGACAAAAAGTAACAAATAATAAAAGAGATGAAGCGAAATATAACAGGAGATTCCAAAAAGACTCTTTTTAAGCAAAAAATACGAWCGATGGCGAAGGATTTTTCAGATATCTGTCACCAGAATTTCAATGCCATCGATCCTTTAATCGGTAGTGTTTTTACGCCAAAAAAAAAACAAAAAACAAACCGATTACCGGAAAAATTTCGCCGCTCGATAATCTAGCAAGCAAAAGAATAAAAGACTCTGTAATCAGTAATCAGTAACGGTAATGATCACTCAATGTGCGATCGAACAGACGACACAAATATTCCTCGGTTGSTCTTCTCGTCAATAAAGAATAAGACAAGTATAAACACTACCAGAACGGCAAATTAATCTGCATATCGGTMAAGAAAGCGAACGTTAAAGTGAGAGTCCAGTGGACATCAAAACACTCCTTCCGGAATAAAACCRATGATCTTAAGTCACTCAGTAAGATGTTGGTACGAGGAACTTATAGACAGATCGCAAACGCCATATGGAAGAGCACTTAAAGMAATAAAATCCCCTGTTCGAACGACCTCTAAACTCTATTACCAAAATATTCAATATTCCGAGTAGGACTAGTTCGAATTTTTGCGATAATTCGCAGACGGTTATTTTGGCGAAATARACCGGATGTAAMGCAGACTGTATTGAGACAACCCAACTAGCGAAGGTCTCAGTTTTAGTATCGCATCATAGAACTTCACTAAGTTTTGAAGCAATCAAAGACGGATAACAGAACTCRCTTATGCAACAGATGGCTTGCTTTCCATGTGGGATGGATAATTATTCAAAATGTTCTGTGTTGCAGTAAATTGCGCATGCTTAATAGCGACTAAACTCAGTAGTTACCTTAATTGTCATTTTTCGTCATTTATCTCACTATAATTCATGTTAATTTGTGTTTTATTGTGATTTACAAATAGCAACTCTTAGATCCCTCAATATTTGTGATTTTTATAAATCGCATATTTTTTTGTGAATAAATTCACGCTATTTATAAACAACTAAATACACCTTTATCATAATGGCCGCCATCTAATTAACATAAATTTTTAAAATTTAGAATTTTAGTCAAAGTAAACTAACAGCTGATAGGAACCTGTGCTAATAACAACATGTAAAAGTTTGAAATGAAAATATTAAATTCTGGTGAAGTTATAAGGATTTAAAATATATCATAACACCAGAACGAGGCTATAAAGGCCTTG